CTCGGACAGAGAATTCATTATAAAATCGAATGACCAAATAGTCCAGTAAAACGAGTTAGAATTAACAATTTATTTAAATGCTTTAACAATCAACCATTCGTATTATCGGCCCATATAGAACCGACTTCGAATTATCGAATCCATATACAAGATGTGTTTTTGTAAAATAAATAAGTACGTAATACATGTACTTGAAAATGTGTACTTTTTTTTATAACAGCAGTTCCAACTTCTCATCTACTAGTATACGGAAACTATTGATTGATTGAATGGTTACTAATGTCCGGCGACAAATATTACATGCACACAAGGACGAGAATCCGTTGACGTGGTGTGAAAATGAACTATTCGTGTTGTCAAGACCTACATACTAAGTAAATTTTGAATTAGTTCACAAGGTAACAGTCATTATTCCCGGATCGATACGAGTTGAGTCTTCGTTCTAGTAAGATGTGTGCTTTAGGGCGAAGCGGAAAATAATAATGTTCAAGTTTTTTTGTAAATCCTAAAGGGATTTTTTTTGCCCTCAAGGCGAGTATACGTTATGGTGGTGGTACCGACAACTATGTAGCTGGTATTTTCTAAACAATGCCCGTAATATAAAAAGTTCCGCTAAGTTTACACCAGTTGTATGTATACATGTCTTATTGGATTAAAAATTTCGCTGCATGTGCATTCCTTTTGCTTTTATTCTTTGGGTAGTTTTTAAAATGCATACATAGAAAGACTAATTTCCTATATTTTAACTTTGTCCCTCTCTCTCTCAGTTTTTTTTTTTTTTTTTTTTTTCGTGAAAACGACGTGGATGCACGTGCTGCCGTGCCTCCGGGTAGCTACGCCCCTGTAAGATGCTGGGATGTATTCATATGGAGAAGTGTCATTTGAGAACCACGTTTCAGTACCAAATATTATGCTGGGCTTACAAGAGTCAATGATGAGTTCTACTCGAGTTTTTTTGTTCTTTATTGACGGAAAATTTATTGTAAGCACTCTTAGTGGTTCTGAGTTTTTTGATGTGTGATTGTCCTTTTTCTTTTTAACTTGCTTTTTTGTTGACGATTGTGTTCGATTTTTCTGGATTGGTAATGACGTACATGTTGGTTATCCGGTTTTATCAATAATTTCATTGTCAGATTCAATGCTGGTTTCTAATTCTGAGTAAATCATAAGTAAAGCTTACTGTTTGTGTCATGTATGTGAATATGTATTGAAACAGCATCTTCCATAGATTTGATTTCCAATAGTTAAAATGGTGAAATATAATCTCGTTTTGGTGTAACCATGGCAACAATGTGTATTTATTAGATACAAAATATTGCAAAAAGGATGGGGGAGGAGGAAGTCACAAAAATTTGGTCTATAGTAGAATTTCAATCCGTTTGAATGATACCTTTTTCTGAAACCATTGACATTTATCTATCAAGAGGTCTTATAACTAGAGGCTCTCAAGAGCCTGTGTCGCTCACCTGATTCTACTTTGGTTTTGGAATTCATGTAAAAATAGATTAAAATCATAACAGATACCCTAATAATGAGTGAGGCCAAATTTGGTTTATTATTGGTCCTGTAATTTGATAAAAAATCCTGGTGGCCATCTTGAACAGTAAATCGGCAACAAAGTAGCAACACTTCATCAGCAACTCATAAGAAACATTTATGCCATGTTTTGGTTTCATTCCATTCAGTGGTTCTCTTAAATAAGACATGTGTATGTATTTCTCATAGGGTCCCATGTTAAATTAAGTCCCCTGCTGGCAGCCATCTTGGATTATGGATCGGCTTCAAAGTAACAACACTCGGTCAGCACCTCATAAGAAACATTCATGCCATGTTTGGTTTCATTCCATTCAGTGGTTCTCTAAAAGAAGACATTTGTATGTATTTCCCATAGGGTCCAATGTTAACTAAGTCCCCTGCTGGCGGCCATCTTGGATTATGGATCGGCTTCATAGTAACAACACTTGTTCAGCACCTCATAAGGAACATTCATGCCATGTTTGGTTTCATTCCATTCAGTGTTTCTCTAAAAGAAGACATTTGTATGTATTTCCCATAAGGTCCCATGTTAAACTAAGTCCCCCCGCTGGCGGTCATCTTGGATTATGGATCGGCTTCAAAGTAACAACACTCTGTCAGCACCTCATAAGGAACATTCATACCATGTTTGGTTTCATTCCATTCAGTGGTTCTCTAAAAGAAGGCATTTGTATGCATTTCCCATAGGTCCTATGTTAAACTAAGTCCCCCGCTGGCGGCCATCTTGGATAATGGATCAGCTTCAAAGTAACAACACTTGGTCAGCACCTCATAAGGAACATTCATGCCATGTTTGGTTTCATTCCATTTAGTGGTTCTCTAAAAGAAGACATTTGTATGTATTTCCCATAGGGTCCTATGTTAAACTTAGTCCCCCGCTGGCGGCCATCTTGGATGATGGATCCGCTACAAAGTAACAACACTTGGTCAGCACCTCATAAGGAACATTCATGCCATGTTTGGTTTCATTCCATTCAGTGGTTCTCTAGAAGAAGTTCAAAATGTAAAAAGTTAATGACGACGCCGGACGACGGACGCCAAGTGATGAGAAAAGCTCACTTGGCCCTTTGGGCCAGGTGAGCTAAAAATTATATGCATTTCACCTCATTATTCCATTAAATTGAATTGAAAAGTTCGAGTGTTGTAAAAACACTACATTAATTTCTGGACCTGAAAATGGCCTATGAAACATGCAACAAACAATCTTGATGTTCATATAAACCCACTTTGATTGCTATGTTATTCATCAGCCATATAAAATCAACTTTATTGCACAATAACTTTCATATTTTAAAAAAATCCCAGGGCCAAAAGGCGAAACTAAATTCCTAACCGTGTATTGCTACCTGAGCAATACGACGGGTGTCACCTATGAAGCAGGATACGATTACCCTTCCGGATCACCCTCGTTATTTGGGTTGGGTTCGTGTTGATCATATAGTCTTTAGTTTTCTATGTTGTGTTTTGTATAAGTTGTTTGTCTTTTGGTCGTCTATTTTTTTTCAACATGGCATTGTCAGTTGTTTTCGACTTGGAACAATTTGAATGTCCATTTTGGTATCTGTCGCCTCTCTTTTGTATCGTGGTTGGCAGACTTCAAAGGGGGGGGGGGGGGTGGTTCTCAAGAAGAACGAAAAAACTTAAAACATTGTCATTAATAAAAACCCTTTGACTTCTTGTACTGCTATATAGATGATGATTATGTCACAAGAAGGAATAATTCAAAGTTTGATAACCATTTCCAGAGCATCTATCTCAATATCATCAAGATACAATCAACTTTCCCATTCAGCATTTTCCGTAATAATCTGAATAATATATACTGTCTTAGGCGGATCCTGGGGGGGGGGGGGGGGGCCTGGGGGGAAATTTATTTGATTATATAGGGAATCACTGAAGCGTGACTGGAGCCCCCCCCCCCCCCTTTAGGTCAGTCAGCGGGGCCCCCCTTATGAAAAGTTCTGGATCCGCCACTGACTGTCAACATGTTATGTCCCAGCAGACATATAGGTCTCTGGTCCCAGGCTTTGTCAATTTACGTTTTTCATCATCAGTATTATCATCTCATCTGAAGCCACCAGTTTGATTTGAAACAGAAATGATGTATGAAAGGTCTTTTAAAAATTCTTTCAAGATGAAAACAAAGCTTGCCAGAGAAGATTTTTGTTTACTATAAAATAATATGATTAGTTTTCAAAAATCTTCTCTGAACTACAAGGCAAAATGTTGTGAAACTTGCAGGAGTGAGGAAAACAAAACCATCTACGGGTACATTTGTCATGTGAGCTATTCAGATTCATAGAAGCCTTTAGTTTTTAGTCTCCTCAAAACTTCTTCATCGTTTTTACCTGCTTGCTTTCTTTCCTAAACATGTTTACTGTTAGTGGTTTTTGAGTTATGAGTCAGTTATCATGGTTGTCCATAATTTCACTAATTCCTGTTACCACTTTGTATATCAAAAATAAAATTGATTTCTGGCTATCACTAAATAATCTATATTATTCTCATTTAAAATTGAAGATACAAAAGATTTTCGTTTGAGATTGCTTACAAATTGAATACAATTTGCCATAAATTAATTAAAAATATAAAAATTGTTCATTGGTGCTGATTATCAAACTCGTCGAGTATCTTGCTGATATAAACCTCAGATATAAATTTTATAAAAACCTGTCAAAAATGTAGGGTTGAGAGCGCTTTCAAAGCAATTTTCCATAGAATTACTGTTCCAAGGGACATAACTCCTGCAAAATTAATTGATATTTTGAAACATTGCTGATATAAACCCTTGATATAAAACTTTTTTTTAAATCTCACAAGAATTGGACATGTGAGAGCATTTACAACACTAGACAAATGGACTCAAAGACATTTCAAAGGGCATTTCTCCTTTAAAAATAGTTGTTTGGCACTATTTTCTAACTTGATTAAGACATTGCTGATATAAACCTCTTATCTAAATTTCATAAAAATTTGGTAAATATTGTACATATTAATAAGATCATATGGACAAAAGGACACACAGATGTACAGATATTTACAAATGGCACAATTCCTTTAAAAATAGTTGATTTGCACAGATTGCTGAACTCATCCAAGATATTGCTGATATAAAATTTTGATAAAAATTTCATAAAAATGCATGTTTTGAAGTTTGATTTTAAATCAAAAAATTGTTAACATACATAATTGTTCTCACCTGTGCAATGAAATGAATTTAAGATGAGCTGCATTTTTCATTTTGAAAGCAATTTTAATTCAATTTCATGCATGTATTTTAAAAGAACACATAGTTCTCCTTATTCTAAATGTACCAGGTACCAGCTGACCTTTAAAAATCAGCTAGGATATTGAAAAATTGAATGGATATGTCCCTCATTACATTTGCCTTCACTTCTTACTGTTTACATTTCCATTCTCCTACAAAATTGTTGTAAACCTATAAAGGCTAAATTAACGTTAAGTATCAACAACCATTTTATTTTATTGAATGAAAGACGATATACATAGACATCCATTTGTTCCTCCAAATCCAAATGAGTTAGTTAAGGCAATTCGTTTAGGAGACTTTGATATCCAATCCACTGAATCATTAGCAATATAATTTAAACCTACTCCTGTATTAGGCTCATATAAATTCAAAGTACCTGGAATCTTCCCTGAGTAACAAGACATCACAGTAAAAAAAGCTTCTATACTTCCAGCAGCACCTAGTAAATGTCCCGTTGCACCTTTTGTAGAGGACACCCTTAAATTTGTGTTTCTCCCTAAACATTGCATTATTGCTTTACTCTCAGCCATATCCCCTAAAGGTGTTGAGGTAGCATGTGCATTTACATATTCAATCTGACTACTTTCTACTTGAGCATCATTTAATGCTGTTTTCATACATCTATAAGCCCCACTGCCATCCTCGCTAGGTGCAGTAATGTGATGGCCATCCCCTGATAACCCATAACCTAAAATTTCTGCATATATTGTAGCACCCCGATTTAAAGCATGAGATAGTTCTTCTAAAACTAATACAGCTGCTCCTTCCGACATAATAAAACCATCACGCTTTCTGTCAAATGGCCTGGATGCCTGTTTAGGATTGTCATTATAACTTGTACTTAATGCTCTCATCTTAGAGAATCCTGCAACAGATAGTGGATTTGGGCTTTCTTCAGTCCCACCAGCTATCATGACATCTGCGTTTCCATGCTGTATAAATCTACATGCATCACCTACGGAATGTAATCCTGTGGTACAGGCTGTTGATACTGCATGGTTTGGTCCCTGTGAAATATTGAGATATACCTATAGTATGTAGTTATGACATCCATTAACAACGCTTGTTATTGCTTTTATTTAAATAATATAGACAAAACAGTAATAATTTTCTTTATTTATCCCTTATCTGTTATTTCTATTATTTGTTGCAACTTCCTGTTTGATTAAAAAGATGATGAAGATGTGTTATTTCTTTAGAACATGATTACAAGGATGTGTTATTTCTGTAGACCATGAACAATTCTGGTAATATATGTAGCTACTTGTGTAATAAACAATTTCTTTTTTTCAATTAAAACTGAGAACACCCTCCCCTCTTGTGGCAATATCATCACTGGTTTATTGCAATGCATGGCCATATAATCTCTGTTATATACTAATGCTGAAACAACTGCATAACAAATATCATTGAACTACTGACCTAACTGGTAACTTTAACATGTAATCTATGCAAAAGCTTCATAGCCAATAAACTTTGACTGAGGGACCTGAGCCAAATATTCTCCATGGAAATAACCTGTGCTAATGCTGATACAACTGCATACCAAATATCACTGACTTACTGGTACTAGTGGTTCCATTAAAATTGACCTAATCACACACTTTAACATTTTTAACTAAGTAAAGTTTCAAAGTCAATAGACCATGACTGAGGGGCAGGGGCAGATAATCTCCATGGAAATGAGATGTACCAATGCCAGTACATATCATTGACTTACTATTTGTGGTTCCCCTTAAAACAAGGAATTATTTGAATCTGAAATAATTTTGAATTCTGGAAAATTGATGAGAAATATATGATGAAAACTAACCCAACTAAATAGGGTTAGCCATGCGCGCATGGCTAAGGTGGGTTAGTTAGTTCATACTGAAATGATAGTGAAAGTAAAATTAACCTAATCCATGCACGCATGGCTAACCCTATTTAGTTGGGTTAGTTTTCATCATACATTTCTAATCAATTTTCCAGAATTCAAAATTATTCCAGATTCAAATAATTCCTTGTTTTAAAGTGATCTAATCACAAACTTTAACACATTGTTGACACCAAAGCCGGCAGAAACAGCATGCTTTGTATACTATAGGCGAGATAAAATCATTTTAATAGAACTTATTGTCCACCTGTTGAAAATTCCTTGTATTGCATTTTCATCTGATTGATGGTAATTGTACTAGCATCTGTGATTGACTATATAATTTCAACTGAGAACAGAGTGAAGTATCAAGGAATATGTAGATATAAGAAGATGTGGTATGAGTGCCAATGAGACAACTCTCCATCCAAGTCACAATTTGTAAAAGTAAACCATTATAAGTCAAAGTACGGCCTTCAACACAGAGCCTTGGCTAACACCGAACATCAAGCTATAAAGGGCCCCAAAAATGATTAGTGTAAAACCATTCAAACAGGAAAACCAATGGTCTAATCTATAAAAAAAAGAGAAAACAGGAAACACTTATGAACCACATCAACAAACAACAACCACTGAACAACAGATTCCTGGCTGGTCTAATTTCTGAAAAATAAGTCTTGGGGTTTACTAGATTTTCTTGGAAGTTTCTGACACTGCATGATTAATGTTTTCTGAGATATGGATCTTAATGTGCACACTGAAGTAGATACAAGCAGTAATCTGTAATCTTTCCAAACTGTAGAGGAGAAAACAACTACATGTAGTTTGTTACATAGAATCTAATAATAATATTGTTAGGAACATCTACATGATCTATACATGGTTCTTTTTCACTATGCTAACCTTCAGTCCAAATTTCACACTGACATTACCAGCAGCCATGTTGACAAGTATCTTGGGTAAAAAAAATGGATTAACTCCTTTGTAGCCTTTCTGGTTCATCATGTCTTTAGTCTGGTAAATCTCTTTCATACCGACCAATCCCATGCCAATTGCTACTCCTGAGAAAAAAGTTAAAGAACCTTTATTGAGCAATCTCACATACCCCATGCCCCAACATAAAGAGGAAAACTTAGTGTGACCTGATGGCATAGTTTTTCTGTTTACTTAAAGAATGATTCATTTCTATTATGATTTTACACCGAATATTTTGTAATACACATGTAGTATTTGATTAAGCATCTGGAAACCACTTTTCTGCACAATTTTCTAACTGTTTTAAGTAACTACCACCTTGAAATTTGACATGTTGACCTCAAAATCAAAAGGGATATTCCTCTCATTATATGTGTCCATATATCTAACTACTGTAAATTCAGAAATTATTGCGTGCATTTATTATTGTGATTTTTGAAGAATGGACAAAAATGGCAGATTAATTATTGCGATGTCAGGGAAATCTGCATGTATATTTGTATAAGATATAAGAATGCGAGTTCTTATTATTGAGATACTAACCAAGTCGCATTATTCGCATTAGTAATAAAATGCTCCGCTGGGGGGCAGCTTGATACGACTGCAGAGGTCGAACCCTGAATAGTTGGGGCAAGTATGGACACAACATTCAAGCTTGATACAGCACTGAATTTGGATTGTAATTAAATATTTGACACAGTATAGGTTTCTGACACAGAATGAATGTGGTCTAAGAACTTAAAAATTTTTAATTTATCTATTCAAACCATATCATTATTATTTGCTTTTATATATTAATCAGAAAAAACCAATTTAAAATGGAAAATTTTAAAGAAAAAAAATGAAAAAAAATCCCCCCCCCCAAATTTTTAGAACCCCCTTATGATTCATCACCCCCAAACTCAATCCCAGCCTTCCCTTTGTGGTATGGTACCTTCAACTTGCATACATGTGATGGACTGTGAAACTAAGATCAGGAGTTTGGGAAATTTTGGTCAGGAGATTAGGACTCAGATCAGGAGGTTTTTAATCGACATAAATTCTGTCATAAATGTAACCGTGTGCTGTAGAAATTGTCTGTTAAAGTGTGTTTTCTTCAACTTTCCATCCGAATGTATTATGTTTATAGTACCCTTGTACTTATTAATTAATTTTCTCTATCTTTTTAAACTTTCAACTTGTTCAATCTAACATTCTTCTTTTTTAGTATGTTCTTTAAATTTTTTAGGTCATATCTGTTTTGCCATTATTCATTGCAACCAAAACAATTGCTTATCTATCTGCAAGTAGATCTTTTGTTTTATCTTTATGCAAATAGATTTATAATGCTTGATAAGTAATACATTCAAACTGTAGTCATGGGTCATATTTATTATATAAAATTCAATTTAAGCCTTGAAAGGAAGTATAGAACCCTCAAATAATTTTCAAATTATTATTTTTTTATTTGTCCTAAGACATTTAAAATCATTTGATTACCATCCTTGTATGATTATTTGTTCAATTTATATTTTATTTATATTCTTTTAAAAATTAACATTATCTAAAGGAAAGTAACTTAAAACAGGATAAATCAAGGGAAGTAACCCAACATTCATTTTAACTACACAAAGTTTTATTACACAACGGCAGTTAGCCTGAGGTAAAAATCGTTGATAACCAGTATGTTTGACACCCAAGGTGACAAGTGAAGCCATATAATTATGCATGTTAATTGATTTACAGGTAAAATATAACTTCAGGTAATGTCAGTTACACCAGATATGTTGGGCTGAAATTTTTCATTCATGAAATATTTCATACACGGGAATTTTTTGTCTTCAACGGGAGGTCATGAGGAGACCCCTGAAAACAGGATTATTGTACTCCCGTCGGGAGGTTCACATGTACAATTTCAGAGAGATCCAAACACTTGAACACAAGTTATTGTCTGGAAACTAGAAAAATGCTTGTTTTTTGGTCCCTTGTTGGCCCCAAATTCCTAAACATTTAGGGCAATTACCCCAAACTCAAACCCAGCTTTCCCTTTGTGATATGGAACCTTGTAGTACAATTTCATAAAGATCCATACACTTACACACAAGTTATTGTCCTGAAACTAGAAAAATGCTTGTTTTTTAGCCCCTTTATGGCCCCTAATTCCTCAAATTTCTAGGGAATTACCCCCAAAATCAATCCCAGCCTTCCCTTTGTGGTATGGTACCTTGCAGTACAATTTCAGAGAGATCCATACACTTGAACACAAGTTATTGTCTGGAAACTAGAAAAATGCATATTTTTGGCCCCTGTTTGGCCCCTTATTCCTAAATTGGCAATTACCCCCAAAATAAATTCCAGCTTTCCCTTTGTGATATGGAACCTTGTAGTACAATTTCATAAAGATCCATACACTTACACACAAGTTATTGTCATGAAACTAAAAAAATGCTTGTTTTTTGCCCCTTTTTGGCCCCTAATTCCTAAAATTTGGAGGCAATTACCCCAAAAATAAATCCCAGCATTCCCTTTGTGATATGGAACCCTGTGGTACAATGTCAGAGAGATCCATACACTAACACACAAGTTATGTCTGGAAGTTACAAAAATGCTTATTTTTGGCCCCTTTTTGGCCCTTAATTCCTTAACTGTTGGTCCCATAACCCCCAAAATCAATCCCCACCTTCCTTTTGTGGTATTGAACCTTATGGTAAAATTTCATAGAGATCCATTCACTTAAACTAAAGTTAGAGTGCGAAAACCAATGTGTCTTCGGACGACGACGCCGGACGACGACGACGACGCCAACGTCATACCAATATACGACCACAAAATTTTTTTGCGGTCGTATAAAAACCTCACAATAATTTCTGAAATTACAGTAAGTTGCAATCCCAAATTTAGTATTTGATTTAGCATCTGGAAACCACTTTTCTCCACAATTTTCAAACTATTTTTAGTAACTACTACCTTGAAATTTGACATAGTGACCTCTAAATCAAAAGGGATATTTCTTTCATGATATGTGACAATATATCCAAGTAAAGTTATAACTCAATATAAAGTATTTGAGTTAGCATCTGGAAACAAATATTAATGACGTACTGACTGATGGACTGGTCAAAAACTGCCCTACCCCAACCACTACTACTTTGTAATATGGTGTATAAAAAGTTATAAATAATACTAGAAATTACCTAATGGCAATCACTATTAAAAACAACAACATAAAAATAAGGTGTAAAGCAATACCTATTTTTATGGAATTTATTTTGTTTGGTAATAAATGTTAATTGAACAGGAAGCTGACCTGATTAATTCATTTTGTAAAATAAATATAACATCTGGTAAAAGTAAGTTTTCACAAAAATTTTATTCAATCTTTTAATGAGGGGCCTGATGGGGAGGGGGGATCTCATCACGATTCACGAGTTGATTTTTTTGTCAATCACGATTCACAGAAAATAAATTTCCATGATCACGGATCACGAAAATATAAAAAAAAAAAAATCTGTAGAAAAACGGATCACGATAGCGAAAATGCGCCGACTACGAAGAACAAATATATAACCCATCAGGCCCCTCATTAATATAGATATTTTGAAAACAAGTATTATTTTTTTTTTTTGCTATAAAAAAAAAGTATAAACAAAACTATTAGCAAAACAAAAGATTGATATAAAATAAAAGATTGATATTAAATGTGTAGTATTTTAAATGGGGTGAACTGTTGTTTTCTCTCTTTTTTGTGCTGTTATACATAGTACAACTTATGAATTTCAGGCCATATATTACCTGACAAAATTATTATATTGATGTGTGTGGTTATTTACATAACAAGTCCAGGAAATAAGTACCAACTAATGACATGACCTTGAGGTAAGCTAACTAATGACATGACCTTGAGGTGACCTACATTTTGTAACTAATGACATGACCTTGATGTGAGCTTATAAGACAACATAATTAATACCCTGTATATTACTATGCCTATACATCTGTCTTGTCATATTTTGATGTCTTATAGTGATAAAGTCGTAAATTTCATTGGTTAAAATGAAAAACCGTGATTTCCCAGTTTAAAAAAAAACAGTATTTCACTTACATGTCAAATTAATCTTACATATTTACTGCTCTTGTCAATAAAGCTTCATCAAAACAAAATGAGAGTGCAAAGAATCATACATGTATATATATATATATAAAATGTCTGAATAAAAGTCAATGATCTTTCCCACAAGGGCGCTGGATCGTTACGAGTACGATACATGTACACAATAAATAAATTATATAAATGCCTGAAAAGTGTACAAAACAACACCAATAACAAAAAAAGAAAACTATAAATGTAATTATTTATAAATATTTTGGATAACAGATATCCTTCATCAGTATGATTATGATCATGGATGTCAAATGAATCATATCAATCTACTTTGATTAAACTATAACAATCTTGAAATTTATACAATAAAACAGTTAAACCGAACATCATAGTTAAGACGCTTGTACAATTCTAAAAATTTTAAACATGACATAGGTTATATAGCTATTTACAACTATAGACTGCAAAGATATGCTTCAATTAAAAATAGCAATGTGCGATATGAACTGGTACAATTCTAAAATTTAAAAGGTGATATATATATATATACATGATAAAGTAAGTTCCATGCATTTTATACTTAATTAACATCAAAGTCAATGTAATAATAATCCAAGAATTCAAATATTTAAATATTAAAAAAAAACATGGTATAGTTTTTTCTCAAGTGTTGAAGGCCGTATGATGGCCTATAATTGCTTATAACTACTTAATTTGAACTCTGGTTGACAGTTGTCTCATTAGAAATCATACCACATCACCTTATTTATATATATCTTCAACTCCTAACCAACAAACACTTTGATAATACACTCATGTGCAACACATATTTATGAATCAAATTGATGTGTTGTAACAGTTTGATTACTCTTGGAATATTTTTTTGATATATTTGAAATTGTTGGATTATTTTTTCTATAAATATAAGTCACCATAAATTTCAGTATACTACAGATTAATTTAGTTTATTGTCATGATTGTGTTTACTTGGGCTTTATACCAGTTCTAATTTTATCCTCTTCTGTGACTGGTTTCCATTTGGCATCGTTTAAAGCCTCCTCAGCGGCTACCAGAACATACATACTGCCTTCAGACATTGTCCTCTGTTTAGATGGTTCAATAACCTTGTCAATATTCAATTGGCCTGACTTATCTCCCCTTTGTATTAAACCTGCTACTCTACATGGAATTCCATCATACTCTGAAAAATAAAATGCTCCGCTGGCCTCAGCTTGATACGACCGCAGAGGTCGAACCCTGAACAGTTGGGGCAAGTATGGACACAACATTCAAGCTTGATACAGCAATGAATTTGGATTGTGATTAAATATTTGACACAGCATAGGTTTCTGACACAGAATGAATGTGGTCTAAGAACTTAAAAAATTTTAATTTACCTATTCAACCCATATCATTATTGTTTGCTTTTATATATATGAATCAGAAATAACCAATTTAAAATGGAAAATTTTAAAGAAAAAAAAATACCTCCCCTAAATTTTTTGAACCCACTTACGATTCATCACCCCTAAACTCAATCCCAGCCTTCCCTTTGTGGTATGGTACCTTGCAGTACAATTTCAGAGAGATCCATACACTTGAACACAAGTTATTGTCTGGAAACTAGAAAACTGCTTGTTTTTAGGCCCCTTTTTGGCCCCAAATTCCTAAACGTTTAGGGCAATTACCCCCAAACTCAAACCCAGCTTTCCTTTAAAGATATGGAACCTTGTGGTACAATTTCATAACGATCCATACACTTGAACACAAGTTATTGTCCTGAAACTAGAAAAATGCTTGTTTTTTGCCCCTTTTTTGCCCCTAATTCCTAAACGTATAGGGCAATTACCCCCAAACTCAAACCCAGCTTTCCTATTAAGATATGGAACCTTGTAGTACAATTTCATAAAGATCCATACACTTACACACAAGTTATTGTCCTGAAACTAGAAAAATGCTTGTTTTTTGCCCCTTTTTGGCCCCTACTCCTAAAATTTTGAGGCAATTACCCCCAAAATCAATCCCAGCCTTCCCTTTGTGGTACCTTGCAGTACAATTTCAGAGAGATCCATACACTTATACACAAGTTATTGTCTGGACACTAGAAAAATGCTATTTTTGGCCCCTTATTCCTAAACGTTTTGGGCAATTACCCCCAAACTCAATTCCAGCTTTCCCTTTGTGATATGGAACCTTGTAGTTCAATTTCAGAAAGATCCATACACTTACACACAAGTTATTATCATGAAACTAGAAAAATGCTTGTTTTTTGCCCCTTTTTTGGCCCCTAATTCCTAAAATTTTGAGGCAATCACCCCCAAAATCAATCCCAGCATTCCCTTTGTGATATGGAACCTTGTGGTACAATGTCAGAGAGATCCATACACTTGAACACAAGTTATTGTCTGGAAACTAGAAAAATGCTATTTTTGGCCCCTTTTTGGCCCCTTATTCCTAAACGTTTTGGGCAATTATCCCCAAACTCAATTCCAGCTTTCCCTTTGTGATATGGAACCTTGTAGTTCAATTTCAGAAAGATCCATACACTTACACACAAGTTATTATCATGAAACTAGAAAAATGCTTGTGTTTTGCCCCTTTTTGGCCCCTACTCCTAAAATTTTGAGGCAATTACCCCCAAAATCAATCCCAGCCTTCCTTTGTGGTACCTTGCAGTACAATTTCAGAGAGATCCATACACTTGAACACAAGTTATTGTCTGGAAACTAGAAAAATGCTATTTTTGGCCCCTTTTTGGTCCCTTATTCCTAAACGTTTTGGGCAATTACCCCCAAACTCAATTCCAGCTTTCCCTTTGTGATATGGAACCTTGTAGTTCAATTTCAGAAAGATCCATACACTTACACACAAGTTATTATCATGAAACTAGAAAAATGCTTGTTTTTTGCCCCTTTTTGGCCCCTACTCCTAAAATTTTGAGGCAATTACCCCCAAAATCAATCCCAGCCTTCCCTTTGTGGTACCTTGCAGTACAATTTCAGAGAGATCCATACACTTATACACAAGTTATTGTCTGGACACTAGAAAAATGCTATTTTTGGCCCCTTATTCCTAAACGTTTTGGGCAATTACCCCCAAACTCAATTCCAGCTTTCCCTTTGTGATATGGAACCTTGTAGTTCAATTTCAGAAAGATCCATACACTTACACACAAGTTATTATCATGAAACTAGAAAAATGCTTGTTTTTTGCCCCTTTTTTGGCCCCTAATTCCTAAAATTTTGAGGCAATCACCCCCAAAATCAATCCCAGCATTCCCTTTGTGATATGGAACCTTGTGGTACAATGTCAGAGAGATCCATACACTTGAACACAAGTTATTGTCTGGAAACTAGAAAAATGCTATTTTTGGCCCCTTTTTGGCCCCTTATTCCTAAACGTTTTGGGCAATTATCCCCAAACTCAATTCCAGCTTTCCCTTTGTGATATGGAACCTTGTAGTTCAATTTCAGAAAGATCCATACACTTACACACAAGTTATTATCATGAAACTAGAAAAATGCTTGTGTTTTGCCCCTTTTTGGCCCCTACTCCTAAAATTTTGAGGCAATTACCCCCAAAATCAATCCCAGCCTTCCTTTGTGGTACCTTGCAGTACAATTTCAGAGAGATCCATACACTTGAACACAAGTTATTGTCTGGAAACTAGAAAAATGCTATTTTTGGCCCCTTTTTGGTCCCTTATTCCTAAACGTTTTGGGCAATTACCCCCAAACTCAATTCCAGCTTTCCCTTTGTGATATGGAACCTTGTAGTTCAATTTCAGAAAGATCCATACACTTACACACAAGTTATTATCATGAAACTAGAAAAATGCTTGTTTTTTGCCCCTTTTTGGCCCCTACTCCTAAAATTTTGAGGCAATTACCCCCAAAATCAATCCAAGCCTTCCCTTTGTGGTATGGTACCTTGAAGTACAATATCAGAGAGATCCATACACTTATACACAATTTATTGTCTGGAAACTAGAAAAATGCTATTTTTAGCCCCTTTTTGGCCCCTTATTCCTAAACGTTTTGGGCAATTACCCCCAAACTCAATTCCAGCTTTCCCTTTGTGATATAGAACCTTGTAGTTCAATTTCATAAAGATCCATACACTTACACACAAGTTATTATCATGAAACTAGAAAAATGCTTGTTTTTTGCTCCTTTTTTGGCCCCTAATTCCTAAAATTTTGAGGCAATCACCCCCAAAATCAATCCCAGCATTCCCTTTGTGATATGGAACCTTGTGGTACAATGTCAGAGAGATCCATACACTTGAACACAAGTTATTGTCTGGAAACTAGAAAAATGCTATTTTTGGCCCCTTATTCCTAAACGTTTAGGGCAATTACCCCCAAACTCAATTCCAGCTTTCCCTTTGTGATATGGAACCTTGTAGTTCAATTTCAGAAAGATCCATACACTTACACACAAGTTATTATCATGAAACTAGAAAAATGCTTGTTTTTTGCCCCTTTTTTGGCCCCTAATTCCTAAAATTTTGAGGCAATTACCCCCAAAATCAATCCCAGCATTCCCTTTGTGATATGGAACCTTGTGGTACAATGTCAGAGAGATCCATACACTCACACACAAGCTATGTCTGGAAGTTACAAAAATGCTTATTTTTGGCCCCTAATTCCTTAACTGTTGGTACCATAACCCCCAAAATCAATCCCAACCTTCCGTTTGTGGTATTGAACCTTATGGTAAAATTTCATGGAGCTCCATTTACTTAAACTAAAGTTAGAGTGCGAAAACCAATGTGTCTTCGGACAACGACGACGACGACGCCGTCATACCAATATACGACCAAAAATTTTTTAATTTTTGCGGTCGTATAATAATATGTTCAACTGTCAATAATATACATGATATATATTCACTTTTCTTTTTTGTTTTATGTCTATTTTGATAAACTTATGGTGCTAGGTTGGTGTGTGGTTGGTGTTTACCCTGCATCGGCCTATTGTTCACATTTACTTTATTCATATTGACAATTGAATATGAAATTTAGATAATCTCCTGTCAGCTGTCAGCTGAGAAACTATAACTCCTGAGTCTGATGAATATCTACAAACCAAGGGTTACAAAAATGTATTTGTTCATGAGCTCAGAAGTCTATCACATGTACTGATTTGAGTGAATGCTTGGTAAAGATATGGAAGTTATGATCCTAAATAACAGTTGACAAACATGACAAAGGCCAAGTACTAGTGTAGTAGTGTCAATTTTACGTCTGTTAAAATAATAGTAAAATTATCTTTATTATGTACTTTAAATTAATTCTAATTATTATAAAAGTTTAAATCTTGACCCTGTTACACTAGTGCAAAAATATTTGGCAAAATTCACATTTCTAAATATATTGATTATTTTAAAGTAGTAATTCATCATATGATGATATAAAATTTGCTAGTGCATTTAATTAAAATTTCTTTGATATATTTTACTCCTGAACAATACTAGGGATGGGTAAATTAAGATTGGGTGATAGCTGAGAAACTGTAGCTCTTTGGTCTTGTACATGTACTTTCTATGATTTCTGAATTTTGCAGTTTGTCAATGTCTGTACAATATACATAGTCCCTACAAATTCGCATATCTCAATTTTTACACCATTTACAGGATTGAAATGTTTTCAGTAATGTTTAAGCCTCACTAGAAAATATATTTGATGTCACAAACTTGAAGTGATTGTTTTGCAAATATGTTGAGGTCAATCAGAGCAACATGTGCAAAATTAGGTCACTTGGAGCAAAAATCAGGAACTATAGATATTGGTGTATCAGAAAATATCCTACAGACCATTAGAATTACTGTTGAATTATATTGAATACTAACATATTTGTAAAAAGTATGATTCATATCATTATTATTGTAATGTTCTCATCATGCTCATGGGCTACCATAATTTTGAATTATCTGAAATCTATTCTATGTGCATTTTTAGTTCTAAAAAGGTACTTGATAGAATACCAATGAAAAGTACAAAAATAGTATGTGAGTAATACCTAAATTAGGAAAGTTCCTATAATAGGAGAGTTCCCTGATAGTTGTTGTTTCAATGTGGAGATTGAAAAATGAAAAAGTTGTACCATGTGACATTTTTCCATGCACATGCTTAGATTTTCAAACAGATGAATTAGGCAAATGTTGTCACATTTGGTTAGATTTCCACCATGTCCACATAAAAAAAGCCACCAGTGCTCTAGTTTGAATTCTTCACCTTGATGAAAACCTACCCATCCTACTGTAAGGTGACATAGTCCATATGTTGATGCTTTTATGCAGTCGATGTTGTACTAATCCAAACACGGCATAGATTTCGGAAGTTATCTTGTAATGTTTGTGTGTAAAATGAAATCAGACACGGTAAAACTGACTATCTCGGAACTAAAGTCATTGAAAGTATTATTGATAAATTTCACCAGGAAAATATGGAATTTCTGACATTAAATAAACTTAGAAAGAAAAATCAAAAAGAAATGAACTAATACACATTCTTCCCATTATTTAATGCATTTTCCTGGAAAGACTTCCCAAAGCAAATACAAATGTATCTTCATGTCACAATGTCCTATGATAGGCACTGCCTTTTGTCCAATCCCTTTGTTTAAATGTACATTTGTCATGATTTGATATTTGAACAATAAAATATTTTGAATTGAATTGAATTGAATCCTATGCCTTTTCTGCACATATGACCATGATGACCCTATGTCAACCTGGACAGCTCAGTCATAAAACTGGAAAGTAGTCTTATAGTATATGCCAGATCAATACCATTTTAGGGGATGGATACGCACTTACTAACCTTTTCCATCCAAAAAGGTAATGCCACAGTGGCCTTTCAGGAGTCTTTGCCATACAAGGTCAGCCCCAACACCAAGACAAGATACGACTCCACGACCTGTTACGACAACACGTCGGATTCCATGTCTCTGACGGTATCCAGATAATTTGTTGGGTGCTGCACACTTCAAAAACTCACGACAAAACGTTTTTCTTGATACAGAAAGTGGCATGATTTTTTATCAAGCTTCATAAATTTTAACGTCCTGTCTTAATTCCACATATTGTTCTTTTTGTGCCTTTATAGATCTTTAGACATTCCTTTCTATGTTTTGTAAATCTTTAGAAGAGAGCGACTTCAAAGTTTAAAGATGGTTCCCATTCGGATCGGGGAAAGGCACGACGGTTTTAAAAGTAGATATTTTAATAATCTGTTTACACTGAGATTTAGAGATCTATATAATATATGTCTTGACGCCTTTATCATGATGTCTAGGGGATGACCATTTGATTCTGAAAGGGGGTGTGGCAAATTTGATGAGGTCAGAATATTATTTCTATCTTAAAGGCGGACAGATTATTTATTTTCTACTTATCCACAAATTGACACAAAAACTGCCCCTCCTCTCACCCTCAAAATCACTTTTGTGATACAAATCACCTATATGAAGGATATACACATACAACTTCAAACAAATACAGCAGTCAAAATGAAGTCTAGAATATATATTCTATTCATATGAATATATAATAACCTTACAATCGAGGGTTGAACCAGGGTCCAAGGAAAGAGGCCGGTGTTAGGGAGCTACCATTTGATTGTTATGGGGGACTAGGATGAACAATTTTGTCCTGTATTCTTTTTAGTTGTAATCTTACCTTACCGCTGAATCTTTCTCCGTCCTTCAGGACAACCTCTTAGTAGAGTACAATAGTTATATGACCCTATACCATCCAGAATATCGCATACAAATATATATATACAGTTTATATACAAGTCCGCAATTGTTTGTTTGATTATTATCACTAGTTTTGTTAAATCAGTTTAATACTCAATCAGTATACACTTATTTTGAATGTTTCTTCTGCATACTTATGGTTCTGGCTCTTATAGTATGCAGTGCATAGCACAATTTTCTGGATATTAATTCACATAGTTGTTCTGTTTTTTATCCAATAATAAATCTGAATTCTGATGTCTAAGTTTAGTACAATCCATAATTAATTGTGTCTGAGTATTTGCAGACAATTTATAAAAGGAAATGGACGCATCTTTAAGTATATTATCTTCAATTTGATTTATGAAGGGACTTCTTATAGGTTCTAGAACCTTACATTTTAATAGTAGATGTTCAATGTCTTCGTCTTCATCATTGTCCTGCCTTTATATTTTCACTGTATTCGGTCCTGACTTTTTTAATTAGTTTATCCTGACTTTTTTTTACATACATTGTCATCCTGCCTTTTTTTGTCAAGTTGCTCATCCTTCCTTTTTTTTTACTCAAAACTCTCTGTCCTGCCTTTTTTCAAATTTCACCCCCCCCCCCCCTCCCCCCCCCCCCCCCATAAAAAATTCAAATTGTCCAAAATGTTAAAATTTCTGGTGAGCATAGCGAGTAAAATATTTTTTATTTTATTTTTTCAGGTCACAAAGGAGGGTGGACGTACACTATGCCCTCCAAAATAACCATTGACAATACTTCTGAAAAAAATTCAATTTTATAAATTTTATGCGTCCGACAATATAAAAATAAGGAAATGCGGTATGATTGCCGATGAGACACCTTTCCACCACAGTTCAAATGAAGTGGGTGTTAGCAATTAAAGACAACCGTACGGCCTTCAACAATGAGAAAAGCCCATACCGTATGGTCGGCTATAAAAGACCCTGTGGTGACATATAAAATTCAATTGAGAAAACTAACAGCCTCATTTATAACAAAACAATTTACGAAAAACAAATATGATAGACATGAACCAACCACAACCAATGAACTACAGGCTCCTGATTTCGGACAGGCACATATAGAATGTGGCGGGGTTTAACATATTTACGGGCGCCCAACCCTCTCATAACCTGGGACAGTGGTGTAACAGCACAACATATGAACAAACTATAAAAATCAGTTGAAAAGGACTTAACTCATCAGATCGATACAAAGCAGAAAAACAAGTAACAAAAACACAGAACGGACGTTGTAGGGTATTTATACATCCCCCACAACAAATAAGACACTAAGTACAGATCTGAGAGTACTCGCAGTTACTGACAGCTAGTTCAAAGTCAATAACAACTTAGTCTAATAAAAAGAAATCATATATCTAAGACTAAAATATCAATCAGTACACATCCAACATCCAATGGATTTAGTGTAAAGACGTCAGAGAAAACAAGACCTAAGCTTGTGCAATGCCAAATTACAGGTATCGACAAATTGTAGATCCGTGAATGTGCATATGTAATTTTATGTATATAGCAATGATATTTATTAGACTAGTTTGGTTTTAATTTATTGATAACAAAATCAATGTTTATACCAATAAAACAATATTCAAAGATCTCATTACAGTAATGAATTGGTAACCTTTTAGAATAAGTATATTTAAAGGATTGATGAGTTCCCCCGAATCGTTTCTAAATTTCTGGCCTCTGTAAACAACATCACCGTAAAAATTAGGAAGTTTTCTATAGGTACAGCCAAACTTGCAAACCAAATCTGTGTATCTTGGAAGAACTTAGTAAAGCTTTTAAGTAAATTGTGGTAACGAAATCCCTGACTTAATAATTTACCAGTAATACATAGGTTACGCTCATTGAAATCCAAAACTTTACTACAGACACAGGCATAACTTTTTTGGATTATCTGTAACTATTGGAAACCTTTTTAATTGTGGCGAGCGAAGAGAGCCAATATTTTTTGAATGTTTGGGACCAGAATATCTATTTTCATGTGTGATAAGGCAAGATTATTCATTTTCACCTAGATGGGGACCAGAATATTCATTTCCAAAATCTTCCAGCACCACCCCCCTTTTCAGAATCAAATGGTTGTCCATTTGAATATGTAATTTTGATAGTATAATTTGATGTTGAACTCAAAATGGCAATACTTCAACATAGATATAAGAAGATGTGGTATGAGTGCCAATGAGACAACTCTCCATCCGGCAAGTCACAACATTTAGCGTATGTTAAACATTCAAAGTCAACGAATCATGACTAAATCAGAGACACATGATACAAAACGTATTTATCAGATATGTCTCTGTCCAAATTAATTAGGCACTGGCTACAATTACCCGCAAAAAGTAACAATAAGGAATAAATATTATTCACTTCCGAGACTAATATTGCTGAAATGTATTTCCAGACAGAGACCCGATATTACAGAAATTGCAGGTAACAATAATATCGTTTTTTATTGTTACCTGCAAAATTTTACATACTTGAAATTTGCAAATTATGTCTTTTGTGTGAGTACCATCGGGATACTTTGTACTGTCTTCGTGACCATTGCCCAATATACGGTTGTTTACAGATTTGAACAAATTTATATGAATACTATAGAACATTATATGTTGAACATGGCAATGATAAATTGAAAGCACATTTATACATATTTAGAATTCTTTTAGCTGTTTATTTTGGTTACCCTTCCTTATTTTGGTGGCACTTCATGCACACCTTAGGTGGCATTTTGAGGCCAACACTTTTCAGGTGCTACCACTTCAGACACCTGTCGCAAACTATAATAGATCCATATATATGCGCGTCTATACCGCGCACTAAACAGTTCTTTCCTGTTATATCCTTCATCAGCGATATCTTTTTTTTTTCACAAAAACTTCTTCTATATATCTTCAAAGAAATTGCATCTTTGAACCGTTGAAGTTTATCATTAAAATCTTGAAAGGATATAAACTTTCCACGGACCACAAATTGGACATCTTGCTCATTCTTATCTATACTAAAGAATATTGAGTTGTTTAATCGACCACTATGGCAAAAGTTAACGTCATACTGGTCAATAAATAAATTTGGCTGAAGTTTTATCATGTAGTTGTTTAAATTTATTTCACATATTGTTCGCAAATCAAACCTTTTTTTTTTTTAGATCAGTGCTAGTCTGAATATATTTTGCAGGTAAATAGTTTGTTCGCAAACCAAACATTTTTCAGATCAGTGCCTGTCTGACATATATTTTGCGGGTAACAATAACTGCATGTACAATGTAACAATAATAAATGATTCTATTGTTACCTGCAATTTTCGTATGAAATCGGGTCCATGCCCGGAAATACTTTTTTCGGCAACTAGTCTCGGAAGTAACAATATTTATTTCTTAATGTTACGTTTTGCGGTTAATTGTAGCCTGTAAA